AAGGAGTACAGGAGATAAAGAATCTCATTTCTGAAGTCCACTACGAAGGGAAAGGAGGAGTGGCGAAGGAAAGGGAAAGAACCAGGAGCAGGAGTCTCAGGAAGGGTGGAGGGGAGATAATTTTATCTGGTTTACAATGAAACTACGAATCATTACATAGAATGTTCGTGGTCTCAATGATCCGAACAAGAGAAGGGTGGTGAAGGTAGTTTTAAGGAAGTGGGGTGCCCGGCTTGTTTGTTTACAAGAAACCAAGTTGGCATCCATTTCTGACAGGGTGCTTAGGAGTTTGTGGGGAGGAAGGTTTATGGAATGGGAGGCCTTGAATGCTATAGGTTCTTCGGGTGGGATCTTAGTCATGTGGGATAGTAGATGGTTATCTCAAACGGACATCTGGATGGGGAGATTTTCTGTATCTTGTGTGCTTAAGATGGAAGAGGACAACCTCAGATGGGTTTTTACTGGAGTCTTGGACCGGTTGTTGATGATGAGCGACCTATCTTTTGGGAAGAGCTTTGCCATGTCCAAGGATTGTGGTCTCTTTCTTGGTGCTTGGGAGGGGATTTCAATTCTGTTAGGTCCCGGTCAGAGAGGTCTACAGGTAGAAGAAGATCCTTGGAAATGGATCAATTTTTTGATTTTATTGATGAGCATCTTCTTGTTGACTTACCAATGGAAGGTACAACCTATACTTAGTCCAATGGTAAGGATCCAATCACTCTTTCAAGACTGGACAGATTTTTAATTTTCGAGGATTGGGAAGAGAAATTCCCGGATGTTGTTCAGGCTGTATTAGCAAGGGTCACCTCTGATCATGTTCCTTTGGTCTTGGATTGTGGGGGTTTGTGTTCTCAAAGATCCTCGTTTAGATTTGAGAATATATGGTTGCGAGCAGAAGATTTCCAAGGGAAAGTCAGATCTTGGTGGGAGGGAGTTATTGTTTCAGGATCGCCCAGTTTCATAATTACAAAGAAGTTAAGGGCTCTCAAATTTGCTCTTAAGCAGTAGAACAAGGATGTCTTCGAGAATTTGGAATGGAGGAAGAATAGAGTACTTGCTGATTTTTCTGAGATTGATCGTCTTGAGGAGGCGGGAGGGGATGTGGAATTTCTACGTTCCAAGAGAGCCTCCTGTCAGGCGGTTCTTGCTGAGATTGCTAGTATGGAGGAGATCTCGTGGCGACAAAAATCTCGGGCTCTTTGGCTAAAGGAAGGAGATCGGAACACAAAATTCTTCCACCAGTTAGCTAACGCTCATAGGAGGAGTAATCATATAGGAAGAATTCAGGTGGAAGGTGAGGAGCTGTGGAGAGAGGAAGAGGTGCGTAATGGTATTGCTTCCTTTTATCAGAAGCTTTATATCGAGCCTTTAGTTTGGAGGCCCAAACTTGATGGTCTCCATTTTGAGGCTATTTCAGAGTTGGATAGAGATAGGATTGAGAATCCTTTTACTGAAGAAGAAGTTCTTAAGGCTTTATCAAGTTGTAATGGGGACAAAGCTCCGGGGCCTGATGGCTTTACCATGCGATTTTTTATGGAAAGTTGGGCAGTTGTAAGAAATGAGGTAATGGGTACTTTTCAGAAGTTTCATTTTTATGGCGTCTTTGAAAAATCGCTTAATGCTTCATTCATTGCCCTTATCCCAAAGAAGGGAGGTGCTTCAGATATAAAAGATTTCCGTCCAATCAGTTTAGTGGGCTGTATTTACAAACTTATTGCTAAGGTGCTTGCTTTAAGGATGAGGGCAGTAATGGATGGAATTATTTCGGACTCCCAAAATGCTTTTGTTGGCGGACGGCAAATTCTTGATTCAGTTCTTATTGCTGGCGAATGTGTGGATTTCAGATTGCGGAGTGGTATTCCTGTAGTTTTATGCAAACTTGATAGTGAGAAAGCATACGATCATGTGAATTGGAATTTCCTACTCTATTTGTTACAAAGTATGGGGTTTGGAAGTAAATGGAGGAAGTGGATTGAGACCTGTCTTTCGTCTGTCAAGTTTTCAATTCTTGTGAATGGTTCTCCCGCTGGTTTCTTTGGCTGCTCTCGGGGTATAAGACAAGGAGATCCTTTGTCATCTTTCCTTTTTCTTGTTATGGGGGGGTTAAGCAGATTTATGCGCACGGCAGAGGACCTTGGTTTTATTAAGGGATTCGGGGTGGGTAGAGATTTAGTCCATCAGATGGAGATTTCTCATTTACTCTCCGCAGATAATACCCTGGTTTTTTGTGATGCTAATGTGTCTCAACTTTGATACTTAAGGTGTATATTGACTTGTTTTCAGGCAGTTTCCGGGCTAAAGGTCAACGTGGCTAAGAGTGTGCTTGTCCCAGTATGGAATGTTCAGTATATTTCCTCTTTAGCTACAGTTCTTGGATGCAGGATGGGTTCTTTCCCTATTCCTTATTTGGGCTTGCCCCTAGGGGTCTCTTCAAGGTTAATGGGGAGTTAGGATTCCATGATTGACAGGTATGAGAAGAGATTGGCAGGATGGAAGAAGCAATACTTGTCAAAGGGGGGCAAAGTTACTCTTATCAAGAGTACGTTATCGAGCCTTCCTACTTATTTTCTTTCTATGTTCCAAATCCCTTGTTCCGTTGCAGATAGGATTGAAAAATTCAAAGGGATTTCTTATGGGGAGGAAAGGGCGATGAGTTCGAGTACCACCTTGTCAGATGGGAGGAAGTTTGTAAGCCTGTGAAATTGGGTGGACTTGGAATAAGACATTTAGTTCCTTTCAATCAAGCTCTTCTGGGTAAATGGTTATGGAGATATGGGAGGGAAAGACATCGTTCATGGAGCAGGTTAGTCTCTTGTCGGTTTGGGGAAGAGGCTGGAGGTTAGTCTACACGTCCGGTTACCCTCGTGGGAGGATTAGGGATGTGGAAGGCTATTTGGAAGGGCTGGGATGCTTTTTCTGCTCATATCAGATTCAAAGTCCGCGATGGACGTCGCATTCGGTTTTGGGAAGATCTTTGGTGTGGTGATCAGCCACTTTTTTTTTTTTTTTTTTTGCTTTTTTTTTTTTTTTTTTTTTCCTAGTTGGACTCACACACACATCTCTTCTGAGACTTGAACCCCTGACCTCCCTTTGAAAAGTAAAAGGCCGATACCGCTAGGCGCCCGTTGGTGTGATCAGCCACTTTCTCGTACATTTCCTAGGTTATTCAGTATTGTTGTTGATAAACACGCCTATGTAGTTGACTGTTATCGGATTGATAGCAGCGGGATTACATGGGATGTGCATTTTCGGCACTCTTTTCAGGATTGGAAGATGGAGGAGGTATGTGATTTTCTGGATCTTCTGTATAAGCAGGAGGGCGTTGGCAGAGATAATGACGTTTTGATTTGGGTTCCTTCTTCCCATAATCATTTCGAAGTTAGATCCTTGTTCTTATGTTTGTCTAATTTTGTTATCGAGACTTCCTGTGGAAAACTATTTGGCGATCCATGGCTCCAACTAGGGTGGCTTTCTTTGTCTGGACCGCTGTGTGGGGAAAGATTCTGACAATTAATAACTTGAGGAAAAGGGACAATTGTATTGTTAATCGGTATTGTCTATGCAAGAATGATGAGGAGTTCGTTGATCACCTCCTTTTGCATTGTCCTGTGGCAAATGACTGTTGGAATCTTATTGTTGGGTTGTTTGGCATGTGTTGGGTTATGCCACGATCTACTAAGGAATTAATCCATGTTTGGAGAGGATGTCGAATGAGAAAAGATGTTCGCGATTTCTAGAGAATTGTACCACATTGTGTATGGTGGTGCATTTGGAAGGAGAGAAATAGCAGAATCTTTGAAGGGAAAGAGTCGCCTACGGCAACGGTCAAACTTTACATTCTTCGTTCTCTTTTCAATTATGTGAAGAGGAGTTTTTGTTCCTCTTCTGATGATTTAATTACTTTCTTGGATTCTTTGGGGCCTTAGTCCAGGTTCCACTTTTGTAATTGGGACGCGTTCCCCTCTTGAATGCCTTTTTTATTGTTATTTTTACTTATCAAAAAAAATTCCTGCCCAAGTCATAAATCCATCAAGTGTTTGCTATTTGTAAAAAAAATGGCTTTGCTAGTCAGAACATAAATCCCAGTTGTATAACCCTTCACCGCTACCAAGATGCCTTCGATGTCCAACTCCTAAGACATGCATACATGGCATACAGTTTTATGCTTCATACAAGTCCTGCAGTTTTATGCCTTCTATGCCAGAACTCTAGAAGCCGGAGCCGCTGAAGGGCCCCAAATAGATATGAAAGGTCCATTTTCAGGTATGCCAGTCTCGTAGTTGGATAACTATTGTGTTAACGACAAGTGATGCTTCCATCAATCATACAGGTTTGTGCACCCATATTTTCTGATGCAGAGGCAGCAAGTCAATCATAGATTCTCTTTATGAACAATCAATCATCTTACCACAGATCTTTGTTGGCATTATGATACAAGTTAGTTTAATAAGATGTTACACATTTAAATTACAACTAGCTTGAGTCTAGAAGATTACCGTGAAACTAGAAGCACCACAAATATTTTAATGTTATTATTATCACTATTAGATATATTACTTAAGGGCAGAGCTGACTTTTATAGCTTGTTCCAACGTGAGCTGGTGTAGGATACACCAATTATTCCTTTTATTATGGTAAATCTTCTTAAATTTCATTGTTGATAGCACTAAATTCTTCAATCAAGATCACAGCATGACTCCAACTAGAAGTCCAAATCCATGCACCATACTTCTACAGATATTTTTGCCAATTAACAAACACAAACAGTTTGGAAGACATATTCAGTTTAAGCAGTTATCTCATTACCAAAAGAATAGAAAAATTAATTTAACTTCATTAATTGATCAACACTTAAGTTATAACTATCAAAGTCCACACTGAGAACTATAATTACTTAAGCTAAAACAAACCAGAAATAATTGCGACTTACTACTTTCAAGACAAAGAAATTATGGAAATTTATCATATAATGCTACATCATAACAAGAAGAATGTCTAACCTTACAATCAATCTGTATCTGTGATATTACCAATCTGTGCAGACCCACTAGATACTGCAAGAACGTCTACTTCCGTGAGAGCCATACGGTTCCCTTCCTCTTTAGGGGCCTTACGCATCCTTTTATTTGCCCTCACACTCATATTTCTCCACTTGTCCTAAGCCACATAGAGACCAAATAAAATGACACACCATATACAATAGTCTAGACAACTAACGTATGTTGCAAAATAATCATTTAAATAACTATCATCTAAGTTTCACCAAACTAGAACAAATGAAATAACGTTATAAGATTAATACCTTGATATCTACATTTGAACGTAGATACAAGACATCTCTAAATTCTGGATCTTTCTGTATCTTACGCCACTTGCCTATCCCATGCTTAGCAACTGCAGCTCTAAGAGCTGTTGCTTCTTCTGCTGTCCATTTATGCTTAAGATAACCCATCTAAAAAGGAAACTCAGAAACCTAGAGAGCAACATATCATCACATAAGAGATAACATAACTAACTGAAAAACGAAAAACAATTCCTTAGCAAAATTGAATTAAACAAATTAATCCTAAAAGCAAATAATCACTACTCAAGATCAAATGATATTAAATTAGATATTAATCCTTTTACAAGTAACAAACTTAAGAAATTACACCAGCAGTATCAAGAACAATGGGAATTTTTACAGGTACAGCAGTGCTAAATTATATGTCATAATAAGTAAAACCTTACGAATAGAATTAATAGTTTGAGGAGAAAATAAGGACAATTATATTTTCTCGGCAGGAAAAGATGAGCATTCATACAAAAAACATTTAAAGATATGGAACCGAAAGAACTTGCCTGTCTATCACAACAAGCAAGCTTTAATCTGTAAATACGGTGTCACAAAAATTGTCTGTACTTTTCTTCTCTTGGAACTATTCTTAAGGGCGGTGAGTATAGCTTGAAGCTGGAAGGCAGACTGGAGAACGAGAATAGAGACGGAGGCGATTGGGGAGGCTGGAAGGCAGACTGGAGAACGAGAATAGAGATGGAGGCGATTGGGGAGGCTAATATGATTTGCCCTAAAAATATTTTTTTTATAGTCCGTATTACATAGATAAATTTATAATTTTATATTTTAAAATATAAAAGGGCATAATAGTAAATTTATTAAAATATTTTTTTTTTTTTTTTTTTTTTCAAATGTGATCATTATTCTTTCCTCCTCCTCTTTTTTCTTCTTCTTCTTCTTCTTCTTCTTCTTCTTTTTTTTTTTTTTCATTAATTAACCATACATGATAGGGGGTTAAAATTATCTTTTCAAACCAAAGGAATGAACAATTTAGGGGTGTACACGGTCCGGTTTGGACCGAATTGAGAGTAACGGTTCTACTATTTTTTGAAACCAGACCGAACCATATGCCCATGGAACCAAACCAAACCAAACCAAATCGCAAAAAAGCAGTTCAGTTCGGTTCGTCAGTTTCAATTGATTTATTTTTTAAAAACAAAATTTCTTATTTTTCCTGGTATATAAGGTTTCATGGCAGCCAAGGGCGAAGCTAAGATATTAATTCAGAGGAAAAAAAAAAAAAAAAAAAAAAAATCAACTAACATATAACACGCAAAAGGAAGAATTTTAAGAAGAAAAAAAGAAAGAAAATTGAGATATATTTGAAAGGAAAGAAAATTGAAATATGATTCAAAAAAGAAAATTTGACTTATTTTAAAAAAAATTTAAGGAATTTAAAGAACAAAAGAAAGAAAAAGTTAAGATAATTTTAGAAATTAAAAATTTAGGGGGGCACGTGAGAACTTTACTTGATTTAGGTTTAGGGTATAATATATATACACATATATGTAATAATATAGTAACGGTTTGGTCCGGGTTGGTCCCGACTAACAGGACCCTAAACCAGGATTAGACAGTTCCTTAATTTTGGGCCCAGGACCGTCCAAATCGCCCAATTTAGTCTGGTCCAGTCTGACTTTTCAGTTTACTGAATTTTTTGAACATTCCTAGAATTTAGGGGAGCCCCTTTCGAAAGTCGCTTTTTTAGGGTTTTGTGAGTTGGCTAGGGTGGGGTCCACATCTAATTGGGTTAAAACTTAAAATCATGCTTATGGGTATTACTGTAATATTGTTTTTTTCTTGACTTGAAAAAAAATAATTTATTCTCTACAAAAAGTATAATAACTTACAATTTTAGTTTTTTAGAGTTCATTAAGGGATTGAACTTTAAAGTTCAAATAGAAAATTTAAATTTTTATTCACTAATATCTCTCTCTAATATATATATATATATATATATATATATATATATATATATACTCCCTTTAAAATTTCTCTGTGACGTTGATGGTACCTTTCTCTCAAACAGAGCACCCGGGATCAGCAAACCCTAAAAAATTTCATAGTATCAGCAGAGAGCACAACTTAAAAAGACTACTTGACCCGCTCCAAAAAATCAACAATCCAATTCCAATCTCTTCTAAAATATCAAGAAAAAAATTAAGAATGAGTTACAAATTTTCGGTGTAAATAGATAGAAATTATAAAAAAAGGATATATGAAAAATAGAGAGAAAATTAGAGAAAAAAAAATTAGTTCTTGTATTCAGAGGAGGCCACATCAAAGTAATATTAGGAAGTTTGGATCAATTCTTTCAGTATTTTCATTTGTGTGGACGTGTTTATTTTTTATCTGCAAATTTCTACACTTAAATATTTCTTTTTCAAAATTTAATTTTGTGCACTAATACAAGATGACATTCCTTACTAGTTCAGCAGTTGTCTCAGTCTTTTATAAATAGTTGAGTTTATTTATGACTATTGAATAAAAGATAAGAAGCGTGAATAAAATTGAGATTGAAGTGAAATATATCAAAGAGAGAGACTGTATATATGTGTACATACATATATATACATATATAGTATTGTTATGCTATGGAGGACAGAGAAAGAAAATCATTAAATCATATATGAATTTAAGTATAATTTTGACATTTTTTCCCCTTTTTTTGTTAATGATAAAGTGTTAATTTGATAATTTTACTGCCAAAAATATGATCCATCCTTATTTACACAAATTGAAAAAAGTAGGAGGATTTATGATGGGGCTTTTTGTACTTAACCCTTTATTTTTCAAGAATGTTGATGATTCACTAGCACAACAAAAGAAAAAGATTCGAACATTTCATTCTCATTTCCATCTCTGCAGCCATACTAACTAGGGCACATTTGAACAACAGGATAAACCACATTCTAGATAAATAGCACTTGGAAATACAAGTACCCTAAAGGTACCGTTACAAAACATGTGTCTCGAAAGTTCCAAAAATACATGGCCATGGAGCACTGCATGATGATCGTCCTAAGCAAATCCAACTTTTATCGTTTCTTTGTACCTCCTAGTTTCTGTGTTCAGGCAGTTCTTAAAGTTACTGACAAACGCAACGGATATCATCTCTGAAGCAGAAGTTTCCAGAAAAATATGCGAAAGCTGCCGATGAAAGAGCTGTTTCCGGAGTCTACTGATTGACGCTGGTACAGGAACAAACTGAATTTTACCGGCCAGAAAGGCCTTGCAATATATACAACAACCACAGGCAAAGCAGGCAGAAGACATACATATATCTATCCGGATGCTGATCAGAAATTGCTCTAATGCATCTATCCTGATAGCACATTTTGTGAATTTCCATCACGCACGAATCATCTGCACATTGCACAAAGAAGAGCTTAAAAAGAAAGTAGGAAGAAATAGGCACAAGCAATTACTTTAGGAATGCGGGTATAACACACACCGCCTTTTCAGTGAGAGATTAAATCAACAAATCCACCAATCAAAACAAAGGAAAAGAATTGCAGTGGGATATAATAACATATACAACATCCTACATCTATTCTAAATTTCTAATACACCCAGTAAACTGTCCAAGTTGTGTGGTGGCATTCCTGAAATCTTAAGAATATTCTCATGGAAAATGTGAAAACATAGTTCTTACTATTACATTCAGCCCTCAATCTTTAAACCAGAGAGTCAGGCTGAGAACGGAGTCTAAATTTTTTATTTTTTATTTTCCTTTTTGTATCTTATTTGATCTTTGATTTAGCTGCTTTAAATATTTCCATGTATCTTATTTGATCTTTGATTTAGCTGCTTTAAATATTTCCACGTGACAGTGTTGCCTATAATAATATAAACAGTATATATCAGAAAATGTCCAGTGAAGATTTTTTATTTATTTTTTTATATTTAAATAAGCATGTCCATTATTGAGATCTTTATAAAAAAAAATTCAAAATACCATTTAAAGAAGAAGCGGATGATGATAACAATGATCATGTCCCCTTAACCAACCTCAACCAACTAAATCAAGAAAATACAAGAAACCCCAATAAAATAGAAACAATAATATAAAGAATTTACCATCCTCGGGGTGCTTCTTCCGTTCAGTGTCTTCATTGCCGCTTCTGCAAAAGCTTGTGCCGCTTCTGCATCAGCTTCTGCTAACTCTGCTTCCCTTGCTGCTTCTTCAGCTTCTGCTATAGCGGCTTCTGCCTCTGCAACTGCTTGAGCAGCAGCTGCAGCAGCCTCTTGTGGAGTCATACTCCTCATCTTGGCCAGTTCTAAATCAATCTGAGATTTAGTCAGAATATTGATATCATCCTTGTCAACTCTAGGAGAAGCCCTATGTTTTCCCTCCAAGAGTAACATGGGAGGATTTCTTCTTTTGTCAGATGACAAAGGTGGCGCAATTCTATACTTGCGTTTCATCTGTAAGAAAAACAAGAAAGCCAAACATTATGACCATCTACTCATTGAACAAATATTCTAAAATATTAATTCAATTTTCAGTTCAATATGGATGTAGGACAGTACATACTTATCAATGGGGTTACCGATAATTGTAAAGCACTCCTGCGCTAAAGCACATTATTTTGCATACCCATGTTGCAATAGTTTCAGCTAAAGACTAAAGTATAATGACCCAGTCATAAATCTAATACAAGAACCACATTTTGCATACCATGTTACAATAGTTTCAACTGAAAACTAAAGTATAATGACCCAGTTATAAATCTAATACAAGAACCATATGCACAATCAACACCAAAAAACATCATGCTACAAATAAGCTTTTCCCAATCTTTAACATGCTCTTTTGCCAAATATATGTTTCAAGGAGATCTTAGAACAACCCAATCTAAAAAAATAAAATAAAATTGCAACTCGATATGTATCTTCTTTCAGAATATTGGTCATATAAGACACACTTTATCAACTTACTCAAAAGCATAACCTACTCAGTTATACATAGCATGTTTTCCATCTCTGACACTGATATATTGACGGGTAGATACAAATGGAGCACATTAAAATGATTTCAATACATTACTAACAAAATTGATAACAAGACATATTTTACTTCCAAAGATGACCATTAGAATTTTAGAAAATTGAGACTTTAAATTGGCAATAATATGTGCATGCAGATGTAGTAGCCTAAATGAGCCAATTCAAGTAGACCCGAGTATTTCCTTTTCTTTTTTTTCTTTGCTGGATCTTGAATAATAATTTGACTGAGGCACATTTTCATAACATAAAACACTTATCTAATTAAGGTTATCCGACAATATATTATAGAGGATATAAATATTGAAGTTACAGTCTCTCTAACAGCTTAAGCTTTTAGAGCAGATGGTGGTTAACAAGATTAATACTAATAGTCTGCACAAAAACAACTTCAAATTTTAAGTAAATAGAATCTTGTCACCTTTTTTTTTTTATTTTTTTATTTTTAAATAGTAAAAAAAAAAAAAAAAAAAAAACTTACTGGTCACTTAAACAGAATATGCGAGTAACATGGGCTTTTAGAAAGTAGGACAAATTGCCAAATATACCTCATGCTAACCTCATAAAACCAACACCTCCTTCCTCTCTCACACTCAAGCCACTGCGAATGATTCCATTCCCAATCATTAGTATTTGTTTTTTTAAGCAGTTTACCCTTATTTAAAAAGGTATATCATTCAGCTCATAGAGATTGCAACAAAAAGATGAGGGTAAGGCTGCCTCTATAACCCTTCTTGTTGAGACAGACATGATTGGAAAGGATAATGTCAATCACGTCTCTCATTTGGACCATTTGGAAAGGAAAAGAAAGGGAAGGAACAGTGGTAACCCCTTCACCTTGTACAAAAAAGACAGTGAAGAGAAAGAAAAAAAAAAAAATTGCTTTATTATGTGAAAAGAAAGGGCAAAACAGAAATTCATTTGTTATAAAAAAGGGTAGAACAGGTAATCGCTAACTCCAATATCCTATCCTTTTATTTCGTCCTATCTATGCGATGATACCAAAAATGCTGTTTAAGGGGTTAGCAACCCCTTCCTTCTCCCTCCTTTTCTTATACTTTCCCACCTCATTTTGAATCAAACATGAGAACATCTCCCTTCTTTTCCCTTTCTTTCCTTTCCTTCCAACACCCTCAACCCAAACACAGTATTTAGTTATTTTAATTAAAGTTAGACCCAGCTTGTTTGACAACATAAGTAGGTATATTTTGTGGGAACTAAATAAGTTTTCCAAAATTGCAGACTGTAAGCATCACATAAATAAGAACAGAATAATTCAAGGTACGTTCTAACAATCAATTAGCTTGATGGCAACCAAGTTAGGTCAGTAGCAGCACGAGGACAATAGATTTAAAACCAAACAAACTCAGATATGCATTGTACAATTTACCTTGATCAGTTTCCCACTTGCAGTCAAAAACTTCAATTTTGCTGACAGCAATCTTTTAAAATTTGGAGGTGCCCAATACTGTTCCTGTAAAATTAAAATAAATATATATATAAAAAGAACAGTGAAGGTCAGAACCAAATTAAAATTTTCATAAAAGCTGCATATCACAATATAGTATAAGCAATAATTAAAAAAGACCTCTGGACTGGCAATAGAACCTGAATATATTTCCTTTCTTGTGAAGTGCCACGTTAAGCATAAAGTAAAAATAGTGAATACACACTACGCCTCCTTTTTAGAATACAATGTAGGTATTACGTGGATCAACACCTACATTGTATTTACCTACTTAGGGGGATTACCCAAAAAGTGAGGAAGAAACAAATCTAGAAATAAGTTCTTCTGAAACGAAGAGGGTTAAAAAGGAACAAGAGGAATCCACCAAAGAAGATCCTTTTTCCCTTTTTCAGAAGAAAAGGAGGATCCAGACAAAATTGGTGAGATTATAGAGATCCGAGCGAATGGAAAGGAAAATAAGGGACAAATTCCACTTTCAGTCTAAAGAAACATGCTATCAAAATAGCCCAATTTAGAGAGTTTAGGATTGGTCCAGGTTCAAGGGGGCAGCCAGAAGAATTGCAATGATTTTTGTTTTGGTGCATTTTTAATGTACATTTTTAAAAGCATATCTATAAACAATATGAGAAAAATAAATAGAAAGAAGATTAGTTAACAGCCGATCAATGAGGTTGTCAATTGTTGAGTTTCTCTCTCTCTCTCTAAATTATAATAAATAATTTATATACTTACATATATATAGAGAGAGTATTAATATGTTGTAGCAAGGATTACTATAATAATTAACACTTCTTTTATTAGGTTTGACTTTTTAAAGGCAAGACCAAAAAGGTTCATTGAACTTTGAAGGGTCACAAGTAATTTCTTGGTAAAATTAGATTTTAGTGACCAAAACTAAACAGAATTGCCTTATAGTGACCATAAAGTTGAGAAAAGATAAATAGTCACCAAATCTAAAACTTAAATGCTAAAAAGTGACAATTTGATGATTAATTACATGACTGTCCTTTATAAAAAATCATTTAAATACCTGTGAACATTTCCTGGGAAAAAAAAAAAAAAAAGAAGAAGGGAAAACAAATTCCAATATGGCGAAGAGTTGTACACATAAAAACATGAATCGATATCTACAATTTTAAAAGAAAGAAGATACTAAATAATTTACTTTCTTTCCAGTAACAAGCAGTGACGACCATCACCATAAATGACACACGCTCATAAATGTATATATACAAATTGGTGCATTTTGCTGCTGGTGGAATCGTCAGTTTCGTACTGGAGGTACCTATTGATCCAACAACCATCAAATGCGTTTGCTTTCTTGTTGTTAAGCATATAGAGAATTATAGATTGCCTTAACAGTCAAGTATGGAGAGTAGAGATGATATGTCCCAGTGCTGTGTTTGTTTTCCATGAATATGATCTAATGTTTCCGGGGTTCACAGTTTGTATTAGATTTTCTTGAAAAAATAGTCTGTTTCAAAAGAATACATTTCCATGGGGAAAAAAATGCAATCTCAAAACATTGAGATAATTGATCTTTTTTTTTTTTGTTAATCGTCGATATTGCAATGACACGTCCATGGCTGAAATTGAATCCATTTTAGGGTTTGAGGAGATAGAGGAGCATACAGAACGTGAATGAGAGAAAGAGGTCACGTTTTTTAAGTAAACAATGGTTTGACAAAATTGTCCTTGAAAGGTCACTATTTAGCATATTTAACTTTTAAATTTGGTGACTATTAATCTATTCTTGACTTTATGGTCACTTTATCAATGAGAAATTTAAATTTTTTTGGGAGGTCAACTTTAATTTTCCTATACAAAATCACCTAATAACTATAAATAATTTCCATTAATAGAGTTCTAAGAAGAGGAAGGGGAGGGGGGGTTTAGTATTCCTGTACAAAAATACGATCAATAACTATACAATATTACTACTAATAGATACCCCCTCCCTCCGCCCCTGTCCAGGTTGGTCTCTTAACACCTTCTTTTCCCTTTTAATCTGAGTTATTTCACAAAGACTTGACATGGTAAGGAAGAAGGGAGGAACAAGCACACTTAGAGAGCTCAGTAGAAGGGCGAGTTGTATGCTGCATTTGGGAAGGATGAATCACTCCTGAAAAAGAATCTACTCTTCCAATTGGTAGGATCATATGTGTGATAATTTACTTCATGGGTGAGGTCCATTTCAAGTCTAGGATGGCCTAGTTGTGCAAAAAAAAGAATAGAAGAAGGGCTCAGGGGATATAGCTTTGTGCATACGGGTTGGATGTTTAATCACCCAGTTAGACACACACACACACACACACACAAAAAAAAAGAAAAAAAAAAGCAACTTTGACCCGAGAAAAGAAAAAAAATGATTCAGATAAAAAGAAACTCATGGGTCAAACACTTTTTTTTTTTTTTTTTTTTTTTACTTATCTTTTTTCCTTACTATTATTATCAATAACCACACGCCAATCAATAATTGGACACATTCTTAACATCTCTCTTGTTATTTGAGACCCCTATTTACCTTTTTTGAATTCTATTGAATCGAGAAATAGGTCTTATTGTCCTTATTCATGAATCCTATGCAAAAACAAGAAGTTATTACATGGTCCCGGGTCTCGGCATCATAATCACTAGCTGACACAAGACCAAAAAGATGAATAAAGCTGACACAATTACTTGCGTGTCAACTAGTGATTGGCCCAGGACCATGTAATAATTTCTCATGCAAAAACAGGTCCTTTATTTTTATTTGTACACCGAATCTTTTAGAAAGATTATGATTGTCTTTGTTTATGCCTCGGGTTGGAACAAATTATTAAATTAGTATCCCTCTACAGATTAGCATACATTTTCACAAATTTTACGAACAAAAGCCTTATTTTCCCAAAAAAAGCCTTACTTTCATTTTTGGCATTCCTCTCACCGTAATTATGTCGAAATATGAAATAAAAGTTTGGAATCAACTTATGTAATGGAGTTGATCTGCTAAGGTATTGAGCAGCCAGGAAAAAGGGGAAAAAAAAGGTATTGTCTCTTCTTCTTTCTTTTCTTTTTAAAAATTTTTATTAAGGAATCTTTTTCAAAAATGCTATACAAATTTTATATGAAACCAAGATACTTACCTTTAAATAATTCTAGTGATAATTGAGAAATTCCTATGCTTTGTTCTAATGAAGGTGGGAGAAAAGATAAAACTAAAACTAATTATTAATCCAAATGAAAGTTTGAAATTGATGTAATCAATCTCTTTTGGTTAACTTGAAACAATGGGATAAATCTACAGGAAATCTCATTCATTTAGAAATGGTAGATTAAAATGGGACACTAAAAAAATTGATTGCTAAGCCGTATGGTTTCTTAGATTGACCTGCCTATTCTGACCTGAGGGAACATGTCATTCAACAGGGGGATTCTGAAATTGCAGAGACTTGGTTCAATCAAGCTTCTGAGTATTGAAAACAAGCTACAACGCACATTCTTGGTAATTATATTGAAGCACATAATTGGTTGAAGCTATGAGGCGTTTCAATTAAAAGAACACTATTTATTTCATTATATCCCTTCAAAGATCATTCTGTTCAGTTGGTATTTCGAAGCAGTGAGATAAAGGATACACAGGTAGAGCACAAAATCTATTTCAATATACTGAAGTGGATTTTCATCAGGTGTCTTACGCTCAAATAAGTAACTAAATTACGCAAACAATTGGTGTAGACATCTACTGTGAGATTTGATGCCTATCTTTAGTGCAGTATCATGCCATGTAACATTAAAATTTGAAATCAAATACACTGCCAAGCAGCATTTGTTACACAATAAGGTGCATTAATTAAATATTATATGTATATATAGAAAGAAAGAGAAACTTTATTTTCCTAATAAAGGAATGCATATCTCACTCCCCATTTGGTTTATTGAAAGGGAGAACCTTTGACCTAACTCCAAATAATATACCTCAAGGGTTCTCACAATTTGAATAAAAGTCTTTCACTTCCTTTTGCTCCAAATTGAGTCTAGAGAGGGAATGGAGGTGTTGCATTTGATAAACATATATTAGAAGGGAGGAGACTGCAAATAAAGAAATTGGAATGTTTACACAACACAGAGGAATAAAATTATTTGTTCTATACAAAATATTTAAATGTGCCTTCTACTCCATCAAATCATTTAAAAATTAGTATATCTCATTGTGCAAAAACATTTTTAGGTTCCTAGAAAGGACAATATTTTCATATGTACTTTAGTGGGCCCCATGTATAATCAAAAAAAAAAAAAAATTGCATTGAACTGGATAGGAAACTTCATTCACTATTCCCATTTCTCCTCTCTCTCTCTCTCTCTCTCTCTCTCTCTCTCTATGTAGAAACATAAAGGCAAGTGCACTCTCAGTATAATTACCTAGTCCTTTTTTGTAAGACCCGAGTGTCGTACATGAATATTCTGACATGTACTTGGTTTGCTCAAGAAGGAGAATCCGACAAGAAGTGAGAGGTATGTTGATGTATAATAAGTTACACCCTCAATAACATCTAGATTTCTAGAGTAACTGGTTGTTAGCAAACATACATACACTTGTACAAATACGCTCATCAATATATAGACATTGTGCATCAATATGAATATGAGGTGTCAACCATTACCACGTGATACACCAATGACAAAAAATAAAGAAAGAAAGAAAAATATTTTAAGGCCAGTAAATTCATAAAAAGGATAGTTACGACTCTTATAAATCTATAATAACATAATGAAGAAACATGCTCTGGAGTTGCTTGTTTTATGAAAGTTTAAGACGAAATGCTAAATGGCTCATAGATGAACAAAAGAACTCTTGAATAGAAGTCATTGTTAGGAACACAAGTTTTTATAAAAACAGAATATAGATAGTTAGGGCGTTAAAACTCTAGCCAGATGTTCAATGATTAAAGGCACTCATGATTTCAAACAACCATAAGATCAAACGAAAGAGGGTTGCACTAGAAATAATTGCAGAACAGGTACTCCCATAATTGAACCATAGTTGTAGCAGTATTATTTATCAAAAGCTAGTTCAAGCCACATATTAGCATATCCTTTTTCCTAACTACTTGGAGTTGGCTACATGAATTAGATTTATTCATTCGACTCTATATGAGATCCTAGCTGCACGTATTATCATATCCTTCCTTACTAAAATAAAATATTACCCTTAATGAAGCATCATCACTCATTTATTAGTTTTCTTGTTCCATAAATAAGTTACTAATTTGGATCATTGAATGGAATTAATTTATATTCAATCACTCCCATGCATCACACAGACTTCTTTCTAATTTAATGGATGGATTTGAACATGAGTATGATTCCTGAAGTTTTGTCACATGGATAAAGCATTAGAAAGGGAAATTGGTTGGGGTTTCAAAGTGTTTAAGTCACTTACTATAATGTCATTTATAGCTAAAATGCACCAGCAGTAGTAGTAGTAGTAGTAATAATAATTCAGGAAAAATACTTATAATAATAACCCTTAAATGGATTAAGAATATAAAACAGAAAATTAAATAAAATTAAGAAAAGATAAATGAAAAGAAGAAAAGAGCAAATAGACCAAAGGTTGTAGTACTTCCCCCCCCCCCCTTCTAAAGTAGAAGATAGGTAGTTCTAGTCCCCATAGAGGCAAAGTAGGTGTGTGAGTTCAAATAGGGGGGAAAAAGAGAGTTATTACGAGAGAATAGTCTTGACAAACTCAACGCGCAAAGTCTGCAAACTGAGGACTTGTTCATTTACTCATCAAAAGAGGCAGACAGGACTTGCTCATTTACTCATCCAAAGAGGCAGATAGAGGGTTAAACACTCAACTCAGCTAAATTAAACTAAACAAAGCCTTTTTCCGACTACCTGTTATCATATCCTCCCTTGCTTACTCCACTCATGTTAACTCTGGCCTTCCCCTTCTCCTAGCATTACCCTTAATGTGGGTCATATCACTCTTCCTAACAGGTGCACATAGTTGTCTTCTTTGCCCATGCCCAAACCATCTTTAATCAATTTTCTCTCATTTTATCTCCAGCTGGTGTTACTTCAACCATCTCACATCATTTCTAGTCCAATCCTTTCTTGACTTACAACACATCCTTTTCAATATACGCAATTTCCCCACACTCACTTTATGCACATGATATTTCAACTTTATGCACATGATATTTCTTAACCGCTTAACATTCTGCTTCATAATATTTTGTGTGGTGGTGTATTTGGAAGGAGCAGATTTGAAGGGGAAGAATCTTCTTGATTTTTCAATCTTCACATATATGTTGAGGGGGAAAAAAGTGGCCTTTTTGTATCTCTTGATTTTTTTCAATCTTCACTGCATCCGTAACTGTAGTTATATAGATTTACTAAAGTCATACTCCATATATTTAGCTTTATTCCTACTTATATTAAAACCTTTTAATTCTGGAGCTTCGTTCCAAACCTCTTAACCTCCAATTTAGTACTAACTCTAGTTTTATCAATTATAATATCATCACCAAATAGCATACACAATGGAATCCCATCCTGAAAGTGTCTTTTCCATTCATCCATAACTAAGGAAAAAGATATTAGCTTAATGCTGACTTTTGACGTAAGCCTACAATAATAATAAATAAAAAATTAATAGTTTCTCTCATAGTCATTCTAACTATATTCACATATACATCATAAATGTCTTTTATTGTACCTATAATAATAATAAAAAAAAGTACATATCTTTTATTGTGCCAATATATCCCTTTACGGCTCCTATTTGCTCTCATATAAAGAGAGAGAGAATTGAATTCTTTAAATACTCTCACAAAATTCAGTTCTAATATTTGCTCATATTGAGTCTTGATTTTGCAAAGCCTTATGCAACACTAATAACAAGTTGAACCTTTCAAGATTATCATGTCGTATAAGAAAATATTTTGAGACACATTTATTATTAAACAATTGAGACATCCAAAATAAGAAAATGCAAAACTATTAAAGAAACTCCCAGTAGTCTTACCTAGATAAAATAGACGATACATATTGAAAAGTCCAATATATGTTGTACACAGGAGTGCACAGGTCAAACCTTCATTTGATAATTGTGCTATTGGAGGGTCCAATTAGCTCATCATGATCAAGGATTCATAATACGGATGCATTGCAGCACAATTTTTTAAATGGCAGATGAGATATGTGCTCATAGAATACATGATTGCAAATAATTTAGGACGATCGCGCAGATAACACTATCCTACAAGCTCCACTGCATAAATTATGTAGGATAACATAGTAGAACGGTTCCAAAACCAATTATAGTTGATCGCTAAAAACTACTGGAAGCATGGGGTTCTGGCTGTGAAAGGGACGAGAGGGGTATGGTTTTGGGGTTCTAGCACAGCAAGAGAAGGCAAAGCTTTGGGCTGTCTGGAGCCGTGATCAGTACCATAACTGATAACTAAGCCTAGTTGTATCAACAAAAGATAAACACAACATAGGACTGAGATTAAATTTGATGATACAGAGCCCAAATAGATTCCATGTTTGACCTATTCTCGAAGTTCCAGATTATTAATTTACTTTTTCTTAAGATTCTGGAGCTTTTCAAGACTGAATCAATGAAATCTCAAAATAACTTAAACAAACATAAAAATACCTCAATGTATGTTGCAATAGTTGTCTTATTAGAACCACCAGGCTCCTTCAAGTTGTTTATAGCCTCCATTATAAGATTGTCCAACCTATAACAATGAGAAGGAAGTTTAACACAAAATGTTATTAGATACCTGGAATGCAAGGAAAAAGGTTATTGATTCCATAAATGACTAGTCAAACTACATAACCTTGATATATATTTTTTCCTGAATACATAACCTTGATTCATTGCTAGTATTCATGTCCAAATGTTGAGACTAAGAAACATTTTTTTTTCCCCTGAAGATTAAGAAACATATAATCACATAAGGAAAATGAAAACCTAACTAGTTCCATGTGATGACAAATAGATAGTTTATACGAAATGCTAAAAGTATAAGACGCTCATATGTTAAGGTTTCTTGGTATGGAATAGGTAAATACTAGTTAATTGGTTAAGAATAGCTGAAGAACTAGTTATGTCTTCTGGAAAGGGCAAAGATAAAATGAATGCAAAAATTCTCTGTGCTGTCTAATTCATATTCTACTAAAAAAATTGATAGCAATCTGCATTTGGTCCAAGAACAAAGGTCCAGGTGGTAAATTCTTTATCAACATCTGAAATCTGACAATTATGTGAAACCTTTAATTATCTAATAATTCACGGATAAATTTTGGAACTCTCTACCTCCCTAAATACATGCATATGTTATTATACTCTCAATTCTTTTTCCTCTGTTCTCCATCATATTTTGTGTTTCAGTTTCTATTAGAATGTCATGATATACATCAATACATACAATGTCTAGAAATATAAAACAATTTTTTTTTTGATAAGTATTATAAACAGCGCTCAAGAGGGGAGTGCATCCCAAAAACTACACAAGGACCAAATAGGGCCCCTATTCACTCAACATATCCACAAAATCCACAAACTCCCCAACAGAAGTACAATTTCTCCCCCGAAGCTAAAAAATAGTGTGTGAAGGATAGAGAACTTAAGCACACTAATAGGAGTTTCCTCTCCCTCAAAGGATCTCCTATTTCTCTTTCCCTCCACAAGGACCACCAAAAACACATGTTTCAATCAACTGTTTCAATCTCTTTCAAAAATAAAAGATAAAAAATAATTGCCAACCCTTTTTATTTTGGCACTGGAATGGTAATTGTTTACCACTTATGTATACATTGTTTTATAGTTTCACAAAACTGAATCCTTAAATTCTATATTCTGCTTTTTAAGTGTGGCTACAAAATTTACACCTCAATTTTAGCTTCAGTTTCATTGATGTCTTGCTACCAATGAACATGATTCCATCTAAAGATGACATATTGAAATGCACAACCCTTTTGCAATTTTATGGCTCTTTTATGTGTAATAATGTCATTGTTGACATTGCCAAATATTCCATGGAACCCAGAAGTCTACAATTTTATTTCTTTTTGTTTATTTGACAACAAGAGGCTGATGTATCATCTGCAGGCTAGTCCTAAAGCAAGTATTTCTCACAATGTTTTTTTCCCCCCTTATATTCCAAGTTCAAACATGGACATTTCCACTCAACTTTTGTCGGACATCAAATCAGATACATATATCAGTTGCTAACAGAATGCATTTAGACTTAAACACAGTTCATTAACATGCCTAAAGAAATACCCTATTGATAAGGTATAAATGGCCAACTATAACATAATTATATAGAAAATCTGTTAACACAGTGACTTCTAACATGCCGGCGAGTAGTAGTGCCAAATGAGCAGCAGCTTAATAGTCCTTCATGTGCATTGCTATTCATCAACAATACAATGAGTAGAATCTAAAAACTTAGAAATCCTTTAAGCAATTATTCCTTTTAATATGGTAAAACTTCTTAGATATCATTGTTAATAAAACTAAGTTCTTCAGTCACAATCACAAGTCACAACATGACTCCAACTAGAAGTCCAAAACCATGCTTCATACTTATATAGATTTTGCCAAAGGTCGCATTAATCAAGTCAAAACATAAACACATAATGCTCCATACTGACAAATTGACTTCCTGTGTCAACAGCGACTATTTTAGTTCTCCACTCAGTTTGAGATACATATATATATATATATATATATATATATATATATATATATATATATATTTGATAAGTAAGTTTGAGATACATATTAGTTTAAGTATTTATCTCATTACCAAAAGAATAAAATTAATGGATCTAAGTTGATTAAATGATCAACACTTAGGTTATAACTATCAAGTCCACACTGAGAACTATAATTACTTAAGCTAAAATGAATCAGAAATAATTGCCACCTACTACTTTCAAGACAAAGAAATTATGGAATCATATTATGCCACATCAAATGATAAGAAGAATGGCTAACCTTACGATTGATCTTTTTGGACCACCAATCTGTGGAGACCCACTAGATACTGCAAGAGGCTTGGCATCAACAATTTCTTCATCGCTTTGAACTACTTTAGTAAGAGCCATATGGTTCTCTTCCTGTTTAGGGGCCTGATGCAGCCTTTTAAGTGCTAGCCTCGCCTTCTCTCGAGAACCCCATCCATTTGCCATTACACTCATATTTCTCCACTTGTCCTAAGCCACATCGAGACCAAATAAAATGATACACCATATACAATAGTCTAGACAGCTAGCATATGCAAAACAATCATTTAAATAACTACAATCTAAATTTTAACAAACCACACATTTATTTCACGAAAAATACTCCCAAAGAACAAATGATATAACGTTATAGGATTTATACCTTGAGATCTACATTTGACCGTAGATACAAGACACCACTAAATTCTGGATCTTTCAGTATCGTACGCCACTTGCCTGCCCCATGCTTAACAACTCCAGCTCTAAGAGCTGCTTCTTCTTCTGGTGTCCATTTTTGCTTAGGAGCACCCATCAAAAAGGACCCTCAGAAACCTAGAGAGCACCATATCATTACATAAGAGAGAACAACACTAAATGAAAACCAATTCCATACAAAGTCTGAGAAAATTGAACTAATCAAATTAATCCTAAATACATTTAATCACTACCTCTAGATCACTTTTCTTTCTCTCTCTCTCTTTTTTTTTTTTTTTTTGATAAGTACTACCTCTAGATCACTAGATACTAAATTAGGCATTAACCCTTTTACGAATTACAAAGTAAAAATTAAACAAAAAGTATCAAGAACAATAAGATTTTTTATACATACAGAAGCGTTAAATTATATGCAAAAACGAGTAAAACGTCATGAATAGAATTGCCTATTTCAGGAGATAATAAGAACAATTACATCAGCTCAGCAGGAACAGATGAGCATTGATAAACATATATGGATGACAAGGTATTATAATAAACAAATTTGAATGCTATCCAAACCCTAAGTACCTCAATTAAATCGCAATTCAACGATAAGAAACAGAAAATTAGACATGGTTAAAATTCAATCCGAAACTGTGATTCTGTGAAGATTGAGATTCGGAAACTACCAGGTAAAGATTTGAATTTGTTCTGTGCTTGAAGCTGCGGAGAATTTGAAGGTCCCTGTGTGTGAAAATATGTATATATAGGTGTTCTAAATATGTGCATGTATCATACAAAAACGTATGTGTGTGTACGCGCGTGTATATATATATTTCTCTACTTTTTAATACCTGAATTGTAAAAATATGGATTTTAGCGGTTAGGATAATTTTTTGAGAAATGGTGATACGGGTTGGCGTGAGCCTCGGGTTAGGTTACGGGTTGGAACTATAAAAGTTTGGAGGCTCGGGCTAGGTTAGGGATAGGAACTAGTTGAAGTACTAACGCAGCAGATAAATCCGATTTCACGAGTTAGGTTTGTGTTTGTTTGTTTGTTAAGTTAATAAAGTGAATTTCGTAAAATAAAATAAAATAAAAATAATTAATGGAATTTAAGTTTATTTTTGAGATTTATTTTAATATAGAAGTCAAATTGGAGCCTTTTGATGTTTGATTTGTTAGGCACGTTAATATTGCAGCACATTCATGTTGATTAAACCCATGTCAAACGAGAAAATATGACGAATGTGAGTTAGAGATGGGGCAAGCCCATGCAAACAAGAAAAATATCACCAATGCAAGGCAGGTATAGTGTTAGCAAATGAAACTTGTTATTCATGAATAGTTCGGGTTCGACACAACTCATTTAAAGTTCGCTAAGTAAATGAAATTGAACTTGAACTTAATTTTTAAATTTGTTTAGTAAATGACTCGATCATGAGCAGTATTTGACTCAGCTCGTATATGTTCGTAAACATAGATTTATATAGGTTCATAAACATAGACTTGTATACGTTCATAAACATAAGCTAATGAACATATTCATAAACATATTAACTTGCATAAGTTTATGAACGATTCAAAGTGATTAGAACACAAACACAATTCGATTCTAAACATTTTATTATTATTTTATTAAACAAGTCGGGTTGAAGCTTTTTCAAAATAATCATGAACTGAGCCTTACCTCAGTTTTTCGTGTTTGTCATGATCTCGAGCCGAGACTAAAGCTTAACTCGACTTGATTCATTTGAATCCACTAATTAGAGATTCATAACATATGCATAGATAACAAGTGAATAATATATACTAACAAGTTAAGTTTAAAAAATAAATTTCAATGTAGGTTTAATTTGTACATTGGACCAAGCTACTTTTTACCCCTCTTAATCATCATTATGTTGATTTGGATATGGAAACCTTTGATCAACCCTCCCTCGGCCTCTCCTGGCCGTTGATGTATGCTACCTTTTTTCTGGCCTCCACGAGTATGGCCAAAGCTATCACCAGTAGAATAGATTAGACATTATAAGGTTGACTCCAACCTTTGTTGCTGGATCGGCCGTTAGACCAAACTATCTTTTTAACCATGTGTTCTTTCCCTTTATCTTTCACTAAATTTTCTCTTTGTGATTTTTCTCCCCCTGACAAAAAATTCACATCCCCATTTGCCCTTATAAGGATTCGAACCTTCACATTTTATTTTGAAAGTTGAGGCGATATCATTAATATACAACCTTTAATGATTTCTTTGTGATTTCTAAGTGATGACCATGGAACCTGGATTCTCTTATTTGCCATTTCATCCTGTGTCGCGTCATATGCCATTACATCGCTTATGCAACAACTTCGCCTTGTTAATGTAACAATTTTACATCCAACGACTACATTACATTATTTATGCAACAACAAATTTTTTTATTATACATTTTTTTGTTGTACTACGATTTAGCGTATACATGCAACACATCACCAAGGCACATATGTGGAAGGGATTCGGATTCACCATGATAATCAACACTCTCACAAGCATACATATGATTCATTTAAGGTGCATTTTAGCTCTCTCTCTATTACAAAAATTCAACAAGGGAACAACCAAGTCATCTATAGGATTTAGAAGATTTTTTTTTTTTTTTTTTTTTTGTGCACTTTACCGGTTACTCATGCCACAAAAGAATTTGATAGTGTCATCAATGATTAAAGGCCAACTCCTCCACATATAATCTATAGAATATAAAAGGCACCTCGAGCAGGATCTCTTTTGGCCCGTCCTTACTAGCCACTCATACTGGGACTGGACTCTTTGGTTGAAAAACTTATTTTTTTAGGCCTAATTTGGTATACAATAATGAAGTGAATGAGAATGGAATGAAGTTGGGAATGGAATGAGAATGAGAATAGAAATAGAATGGAATGGTCATTCTCATTCTTTTCTTTGGTTGCAAATATGAAATGTTATTGGAATGGTTGATAATCATAATTCTAAGTGGTAGCGGTGGAAGGCGATGGTGGTGGTAATGAAAGGTGGTGGTAGAAGGCGGTGGCAGACTGGCAGTAGAGGGTGGCGGCGGAAGGCAATGTCAGTGGAGGAAGGTGGTGGTGGAAGACGAAGGTGGCGGTGGTGGTGAAAGATAGAGGTAGAGGAAGGTGGCAACAGCGATGGTGGTGGTAGTGGAAGGCGGCGGTGTTGATGGCGGCTGTGGAAAACAGTGATTGTAACGACCCGAAACCTGGGGTCTGAATAGCTATCCGGTTCCTTACCCAACCCCGAGATTAAATAAAGGGCATTATCATCATTTCAAATACCAATTCATCGTTAATACATCATTCTGAGGTTAATGGTACTTCAATACATCACTATGCGACTCGAGGTTAGTCAAAAGGAGAAAAGAAGATGGAAATAGAGAAGGACAGGAACCGGTCGACGTGTAACCCTTACATGTCGACTGGTTTAGCACCTAGTCCCAAAATTTGCTCACTGGAAGATACCAGTCGACGTGTTCTTCCTAGGCGTCGACCCGTTTGCCATACTAAGGCCTGTTTGGCCTGCGCTAGCTTGTGTGAAGCCCCAGCACTCCTATGGTCCATTTTGAACCTCAAATACAATCTAAACCTATCCCAAAAACATATATTTGATGGTACAAAACATAATTAAACATTCATACATTTAGTTAAACCGAAGATGAGTCCAATACATCAAAAGATGGCTTTAAGGCCTTACGTGTACAACCTTAAAATAAAATGAATTTCCATCCATGGCATGTATCTCTCAAAATACATTTATATATGTCTACGGGACATAACTAAAATTACAAATTCGTAAAATATACAAGGCTTATACATGTCAGGTTAAGGCTACACAAAAAAAAAATGAGATTGTAGCTACAAAAGATATCAAAACAGTCCACTAATCCATCCTAACTTGTGAAGGAGCGTCATCCGCCATTTCCTTCCCGTGACTTGAAAAGGGGTGAGCACGAAGACTGAGTAGAAGTTGCCTAAGGCGTCAACTTTGGACTCCCTTGAGCCACACGTCACACATACGAGATAAAAGGAGACTGGGATCATAATTAGGAATTTCATAGCATTTAATTCACAAATCAACCTTAATAATAATTTTTAGGCATTTTTGAACACAAGTATGCACAAGATGCAATGCAATGCCTACATATCCCACTCTTGGTCTTTACTGACCCTAACTCAGCCTCTAATAGCCCTAACTTGGTCTTTATCGACCCCAAACCCACATTTTGAAAAACGCTAACCGACTTAACTGAAGCGAGATTGATAGCTATCCCCGATTCCAAATCCGGCAACCATTTGGGGCCTAGTATCAACTTTTCACGCCCAACACCAGGTTGCGCTCCCTCTAGGTCAATTTAGCATCGAACTCGTGAAATCCGGTTCAATTTCATAAGTAAAAAAGTCATTCCAAATTCCGTTTTTCTCATTCCCTTTTCCCCGCCATGCAATGCAAATACACCTTCTCATATCAATATAATTTCAATTCCATTTGTATAATAATGATAACATTAGCATGACATTCATAATATAAAAGCTGTGAACAGGGTATCTTTTCAACATTCAATCACAAACATGCTCTTTATATAACTCAATACAATATAATCATGCGAGCACTTAACTTTGACATAAAATGACACATTTGATCATATAAGCATGCTTTTAGGCACTAAAACACACCATTAACATTCACATACAACAATTTCATCACTTAGTTTTTAAATCTCAAAATTTAAGGAAGAAAAAGACAGAATTTCTCAATAAAAGATAAAGTGCGAAGCATTAGAAGAGCTCCTACCTCAAGAGAAGAGCAACACCAAAAAAAACCCCAATTCAGCCCCAAAACTCGAAATTCAAAGGTGGCCCAAATCAAGCTTTGCTCCAATCAAATTGAAACTCTCGTTGTGCTTGTTAACTTTGTCTTCAGTGGTAAAGTCGAATTCTAAATGGAAAGTGGGAGATCTAGCCTTGAAGTGGAGAAAAAAAAAAAAAAAAAGTATATAGGGAGAAAGAGAGCTGCCATGGTTTCTGAAGAAAGAAAATGACCTGAATTGATATGTATGGTTTTTTAAATGAATTTAGTCACTGCAGGCCCTACGCAAAAACAAAATATCTTCCTTGCCATCATAACACATGTACATCTACTAAACACACCACAAGACATGTCTATGCATATAGTCACATAAATATGCATCAAATAATAATGTAGGAAGTCCAACGGCCCCGAAATATAAACCCCACGCATTACAAATTTGGTTGCGGGTCCCACCCGTGACCTCCCAGCTCGAAAAATTAAAAAATGCCGAAATAACCAACAATATATTTCTAAGAATCACAAATTCGAAGAAATGCCCCTATCAACTCTTGAAACTCACCCAGCACCACGGTGTCCGGTATGCAAAACGGGGAAATAAGTAAATAAATTTCGAAAAATAAAAAATTCCCGAAAAATAAAAAATGAGAAACATTACAATGGTAGTGGTGGGGGCGGGGGGTGGGGGGGCGGTGGGAGGCGGTGGTGGATTATGGTAGCGATGGCCAAGAATTTTATTTTTTCATTCCATCCGTTTAAATGTGGAATGGATTTTCATTCCCATTCTAAATGTCATACCAAACAAGGGTATGGTTGGAATGAAATGTCCATTCCATTATATTTTCCAAACTAGGCATAATATCTTAGGTAAAAGTTATGAATCAAACATGAGTTGCATTGAAAACTTGAAAGAAAAAAAAAAAAATTATCAAAATGAATTGCTAAAATTAATTCCAATCACATAAACAT